TGTTTAATATTCACCGCTGAATTATGCGTTTCATAAGGAAGGAGACGAGAGTGAAAATTAAAATTTGTTGTTTAAGACAAGTGCCTCTTTCATCATTAGGCTATGGACTTACTGATGTATCTATGTATGTGAGTGTGAGTGTGAGTGTGAGTAAGACAAAGCAGCAAATTCGTTTTCTCGTCTTGTACGAGACAAAGTCATGGTGCTTATTGAAAATGAAGGAAATTAGTTTCAAGTCAAATTCTAAAGGCAAACAACAAATTAATAAGTAATTTCTCCGCACGCGAAGTCGAACATAATATTTGTATTTACTCAACACCTCCCCGACGAGGTTAGGTTGTGACACAAGGCCGGTTTAATGTGAGGAGCCCGAGCGTGTACACCCGGGCAAGGAACAAAAATTGACCGAGCCCCCGCAACCGTCGGTGCGAGAATAGATCCCCCCCTCTCTCTCTCTCTCTAGTGTAATGAGAGGGCGCGGTCTCGGGGAACTGCCCCCCAAGGCTGGTCACCTCTCGAACATAATATGGTACAAGGCTAAAGAATACTAATCTTCATATAAAATCTTATGACATCCGTTAGTCCATTTGTCCATCACGCCCTCTAAAATAGTCATACCGATCGAAACCAAATTTTAAGGAGAAGTGCAAACAGATAAGGAGGTATAAAGTACAATTGGTTTTACTAGCATGTCTAGCTTAAGACAATAAATTTTCATTCATTTTTTTTTTGGGGGGGGAATTAAAAGTTTTATTATTTAACATACAAAATACTCCCACTATATTAAAAACAATTTAATGATTAAAATAACAAATACTTCTTTAATAAAAATGCAATATTGTTTTGTTTTTTGTTTGTTTGTTGTTTTTTTTTTTTTGCATATTTTTTTTAAGTTTATATATATTTCATACTCTTAAAATAAAATGCCCAGTATTAGCCCTGTAAATATAAACACTGCAGGAAGAGTTTCAAATGGGTAGAGGATTTCAAGAGTAGTAATGATATAAACAAGAATGGATGATTGGTGGGAAGGAAATTCACTAAAGCTGAGGAGTGCATGTAGCCTCGCTAATGCAAATGATATGCTACCTTTCAAGTGATAACTTCAATACTAAATACAGTGAGGATTTCAACCCGCGTCAGTGTGTTACAAAAAATTCTAATAAAGAAAACGTGTGATTCCTGAAAAATAATAGAAAATACATTATAAAAAAAAGAAACTAAAAAACGACACTATGCTCCTTAAAGTATAAGATTATATCAAAACTATTTTTGTTTTTTTTCTAACCTTTACACTAAAGCTTATTCCAAGTACATATCTAAATCTACAACTCTATATATTATTATCATATCAAAATTTTGCTTCTTTACATATTTACTATGTACGTTACGCACTGACATTGCATCAGTTAAAAAATTAACCATTCCTGTTTAGTTGCGAAGACAGGCGGAAGAAAAGAATTATTAAAGTTATTTGTTTTGGTTTTAGGGAGCTAAAGAAAACGAAAAAAGAAAAAGATGAAAAGAAAAAGAAGAAAGAAAAGAAAGAGGTGATAACACATACAAATGTTTAACGTCTGCTTCAGTGAAATGGAAAAACCTTATCAGTTTTTAATCTTTTCATTTGTACCCTTTTACTTCTTTAAATACTGACCCGCATTCATATTTATTGTTATTGCAATATTTTGTTAAACTCGTATGCTCAAATATTTGGCGATGCAACAGAGGAAATTCCATGGGCATTCGTCGAACTCGCAAAGAACTTATTCAAGCATTAAATTTTAAAAAATATTATTATAATTATCATATATGATGTTAGTATCATATATGATATTTTTGTTTTAGATGTTATAATACAAATTCAGCTACTCCTCATTTAACGACTTAGTCGCTAAATGAGAACTTGCACCTGATAGCTATTTCAGGTATATTACGCGTGTTATGGGTTTCTGTCAATCAGCTTCAGGTGGCTTTAATATCACTTTTGACCCATTTCTAATTTATTTTTAAATGTTTATAAAGTACTGAACAGTAAATGTAATAAACAAATTCAAAAATCAGCTCTATATTTTGTACATGGCTTCGTTTTCTAAATTGTAAATATAGAGAGTGATTGAAAAGTAACTCCCTATTTTATGTATGTTGGACTCTCCTGTCTTGTAAAAATTTATAGTTAGACGGGAGAGTACATTATACATAAAATAGGGAGTTACTTTTCAATCACCTTGTAGTACTGTAGCTGAGTTCGTTAGATTCAATTACGTACAAATACTCTTGGGGAAGGTATGAATCCATCTCTTCTCTCTCCCCCCACCCCTGAGTTGAATAGCAAGATAGACTGGGTTCTTTAACCTTAGTTGGCAACCAGTCTACGGCAGAAAGAAATGGCAACCTACTGCGAGAAAAAAATCTGCATTGTCAGTCATGTATCGAAAGATACATGATCGCCCAAGCGTGTATCAAGTATGGCTGACTGAGCCAAGTGGGTCAGTTTTGTGTGACGATAGGGGAGACATAAACCAAACCTACCTGCTGATTAGTGTTGCTGATTCTTGTCACGCTTGACTGCAATCACCGAAGCTTCTCTAGAATTTGGTGGCGGGTTCTTGACCTTGTTTGTTGGGATGGTCTCCTGCTGTAGGAACATATTCGGGTTGGATAGGCCTTAATATCGCGATTCCATCTCGGATATATACTGGCGGAAACCCACCATGTTCCTCACTTATAGCAGCCATCGAGAAAAGAAGGACCATATTTTTATCCCTTTCCCTCGGCGTAGACGTGTATATACGTTTTTACCGATAGTATATTTTTGAGACGCGGACGAATAAAGACGTCCAAGGCCTAACGTTCAAAACCCAGAGACAGACGTGTTTATGCGTCGATCTTGATTCTTTTTATGCCCTTATGAGATTAAAAAGAGTCTAATTGTCAACTCATACGCCTGGTAAACGTCTTAGCTACCGCTCGACTACTTCAAGATGCCCCAGTTTCTTAGCGATTATATTAAAACCAAATAAATAAAAAAAAAACTGTCTGGAAATTAAACGTTTTTCCCAAAATAATTGGAAGGAAGAGATTAACATTGAGTAGCATTGCTTTCCTTGATACTCTTTCAGAATATTATTCAGTTTTTACCCCTAGCAATCTCAGTATAATTAACACAAATGAAGCTCATGCCGTTAGTTCACGTTAAAGATTATGCTACTGTAGCGATAGTAGTGTCAGCTGATATCATATTAAATGGAAAACAGCTGACCTGTTACGAAAATTAATTCGGACATATTTTTTCTCCGATTGTTATCAGCTAAGTGAAGTAAACTTCACAAGTACATGGCAAGCGGCTAGGACAAAGAAAACCAGTGAATGAAGATAAATTAGACAAATGTTCTCTATAAGAAAGTGGCCGCTACTCGCTAAAGAGTCAGAGACGAAAGGGCCCATGTGTGATACTATTTGTCGCTGCTGCGGTAAAGTTTTGTTAAAACATAAGAAACTGTTATGTACTGTACCGAGAGACATTGAAATGAGAAGGGTTAATACCAAAAACCCGTGGGAAGAATTGACGATTTAATTCACACATAAACGACTGGAATTGTATGTCAAGCAGTTTGAACAATGGAAAAGTGACCCAGACTTGGGGGACAATGTTGATTGACACACAGCTGCAAATGCAAGCTACAAAGCGAAAATTTAATTTTTCGTAAACAACGGATTTGGAGTTGATTCCCCTGGTCGAAAGTTGAGTTGAAATACCAGGAGAGGGTGGATAAGCAACCCACGATCACTGAAGAGGTTTAGTGAGAGGTAATAATATAAGAAAATGGAAAAAGGGAATTCCCTAGAATCACCAGTTTGGGCGAATGCCCATAAATACGAATGCGCGAAGCGAATTAAGCAGAAGAGAGGCAGAAGAGACTGGGATGAGACCAGAGACAGGAGAGAGGCCCACCTGATTATCTGCCGACGAAAGCGTCCGACCTCCGCCTTGTGCCAAACTTTACTAAGTCAACAACGATAGGATCACTTCCGACTTAAACGTGGGTCGGGCTGACAATTATTACATGAGTATTCTGATATATTCAATTATTGTACGAAAGACTGATATGAACAGCATTTACTTTTTGTTCAATTCGAGTCTTATTTCTCTCTCTCTCTCTCTCTCTGTACGTATTCGCTCTGCTTGGACCAGCTCAGCACGAAGATACCTGTGACGATTCGATCTTGGCCTCCTTATGATCAAACTTAAATCACAAGGTGGGATAGGGCAAACCTGAGATGTAAGCGATTTTCATCGATCAGCCGCAAACACACACACAACACGTTTGCTTGAGTTGGCCAAAGCTCAAATTTTTTTCCTAGAAATTTACGAGGTTATCAGACCTGTACGTTCTTCACGCATAGTTGAATTGTTTGTCTAAAACGCGTAAGGATAATGTGCCTGTATGACGTATCATTTAATTGTGAGGACGGTATGGCTACGTTGTTGCTAGCGGTGTCGGGGATGTAACCAGTTAACCTCATTAAAGATTTATTCACTTTTGTTAATAGTTGTTGTCGAATGAAAATGCGGAATAGAGGTGGTTATATATAAACTGGCACACGGTTTCAGCGCCACATAAATTTTCTAACGTCTTTTTGTAAGAGAAAAAAAAAATAGGTGAAAGTGACGTGTTGCTTACTGAAATCGAAAGAAATTAGTTTTAAATTAAATTCTACCAACAAACAATACGAATAAATAAGTTATTTATTCAGACGCCCCCTCAACTGGTTGTGGCATAAAGACAAGTAATACTGCGTGAGTGAGAGAGACACAGAGATAAAAAAAATTAATTATATATTTTTCTGACATTATTTCATGGATACATGCAAGAAATGATTCTAAGGTACTTAAATGGCGACAGATAAAATAATTAATTTTGTTACTTTTCACAAATGCAGATGTGCAAAAGTATACTATTTATTTCTTAGATTATTTATTTCTCCAAATAACAATCGTATTATTCGGGTGGCAGGAACGTGGCGATAGCCTGCAGGATAACGTCAAATGGGTCGGCTCCATCGGGTAGATACCATCTCCACATGAACTTAGCCAGGTTAGTCTCAAGATGGTGTCGTTCCCTTTGTTCCTCCACTTTGTTGTGTGGACCTCTGGTATCTGTATCAACGAAATTGTATTGATGATTAACCATGATATGTTAGAAGCCAGCCTCCTCTCTTTACCTATCTAGCCAGTTGTCGGAGGTAATAAATAGCAACAGATAATCCATAAGTAGCGATTGTAATATTAGTGGTCAATATCCACACTCCATTTTTATGTAACATATTTGTAAGACTGTCGTTAAACAAGAGTCGTTTTCTTTTTAATCCAAGCTGTTAATATTGCTGCTACATCTGTTCTCGTGCTACTGCCATAGATTTAGAAATTCTTGATAAAATCCAAATAATCAGCAATATTACCAGTCCTGATATCTTGGCCTCAGTCACTTTTCCACCAGCGTAACGTAAGGCCCCCTGTGTCAATTCTATAAATACTTTCATGATAATTGTTCTGAAGAACTTTCGTATATGGCGACAAGGTCACATTTTACAGTTGAAATAGCATAGAATAGTTACATCTAGCCAACAGTTTTTTCTATCGCGCTTCTCGCTTGTAAAATTCTATTTCGATTTCTTGCTTTCCAGTCAACTTTGATCTTCAAAAATTTAAATGCTATGTCAATTATTTTCTTCCGTCTCAATTCTTGTTTTATTGTTCTCTCTCCTTAATAGTGTTTTTTTTTTATTTTTTTACTCTTTCTCACTCGGTAATCCCTTACATCTTAGTGGTCTTATTTCTTGCTTGGGTGAAATAAGCAATTAAGAAAAAAAAAAAAAAAAAAAATTAATTTACCCCAAGCAAGACAAAAATGTCACTAAGACACAAGGGGTTATTGGGGACTAAAAGAGAATGAGAAAACTTTAGGGAGGAAACGAAACAATAAAAAATCTGAATTCAGGAAGACAAAAAGATGGCAATTGTCGTTGCATTTAAATTTTTGGCTTCAACTACAGCCTCCAGACAACTTTGGAATCTCCTGCAACTCTTCATGGACGGTTTCTGTTGAAGCTGGTGAATGCTGCCATAATCCTTGCCTTCAGTTCATCTTTGGTGTTACAAAGAGTTTTGTTGGTCTCTCTCTCAACCACACCCCACACAATTATCAAAGGGTTTCAGTCTGGTGAGTTAGGTGGCCAGATGTAAGGGGTGATATGGTTAAAGAAATTGTCCGACAGCCATGACTGTGTTCTGCTTGCATGGTATGGTATGGTGCAGTTCTGTTGCCCGAGTCTTCCAGCAGCCAGCCTATATACCCAGGGCAGCACTACCACCTCAAGGCCTGTGATGTAGGCCTCCATGTTGGGACCAAGACACCAACAAATTCAGGATTTCTTTCATTAGAAAAGATCAGAGTGAGGTTTCTGAGCTGCCATACCTTCATAATCAACATTAGATTCATCCAGCTCCTGAATCCTCTGCACTGTCATCAGACTGACATCCAAATACTCTGAAGTGCTCACAGTGGAGCTTCCAGCATGAATGCCAAGCAGTACAACATGCAGGTTTCAAATTTTCTGGCAGAATGAATTGTGTCATGGTACTCAACTGATCCTACTATACTGTGCAGTTGACAAAACGAAAAAATAAACAATGCACATGTGCAAAATATAAAATGGCAACAATTAATCCATTACACACTGTACTTGTCATGATCATAAATACCTAATTGTACACCGATGACATTGTTTATCTTCAACAACATTCCCAAGACAGAGCCCCTACAAATTAACCCAAGACAGAGCCCCTACAAATTAACGTTAAATGATTTAAAAGCTTGGGCAGTCAACACAATCTTCCTTACTCAATTTGTTAACAAGTAGATTAAATCATATCTGGCCAGAGACACCATAACCCTTGAGCTTGTGGAGAAGGCTAGCATGACAAAAACTTTCAAGGTATCTAAAGCTACAGCTTTTGTCTCACTATTCTTAGCCTGGTAGACAAATTCAGTAATAACTGTTAGCACATCTGTGGTTGACCTAGAGAAACAAGAGCCACATTGTTTATCTGAAAGACAAAATGAAGAGAGATGCTTAATCTATTCCAATTTGATTAGAGCCTGTAGCACTTTTACCAAAATCTGTAATAGACTACTAGAGCAATAATTCAAGGAATCAGAACATTTAGAGGGCTTAAAAAAACAGGAAGTACAGAAAAAGATTTCCAGCAAGCTGGAAAGCAAGATGCTGCAAGGTATTTGTCACAAGGTGTGGAGAGACCATGAGCCAATTCAGGAGTACATTCCCTTAGGAAAATTGCAGGGATCCTGTCAAGTCTGTAAACCTTTTAGAGAATATAGTTAGATGATAGCAGAAACCATGGATGGAGTTAAGTTCACATCACTCGGATTTTGTTCTGGGCAGTGTGGGTGGGGGTAAATATTTCAAACTGATTGAAGAGATGAGGGATTGAGGATTTTGTTTAACACCTTACAGAGCCACCAGTAATCTTGACCCAAACTTTCAAGAGGCTACAGAGTGTCTCTTTCTATCAACTTTTTACCTACACCCAATTTGGTTTTTTTGCATTTCTCCAACTGGTGCTTGTAGTTGGAGTCAAGAATATAAAAGGCAGATTTCCATGACTGACAGACTAGTTACACTTATCTCCCCCAATTTGAATTGGTCTCATACTAGTCTTGTCTTCCCAACAAATCTCGAAGAGAGACAAAAAAAAAAAAAAAAAAAAAAAAAGTAATTATTTTATCAGGTCGACATTTTTGAAAGCGTTGAATGAGAGAGAGAGAGAGAGAGAGAGTTTAGAAAGACTTATGCATCAACTTTGATTTCCTAAAAAGAAATCAAAACCACTTTAATATTTTCTTTCATGTCAAATTATTTTCTGCAAGGTTACATGTATAAAGTTACCCACCACCCACCTGGCTTGCAATATTACAAGTACAAATAACAAGACAGTAAAATTATCTTAATGCTCACATGGATCAGCCATTGTTCTCCAGCTACCAGATTTTATAGCATATAAGAGACACCATGTTTTAGTAATAAAACTAAGACAAATGGTATATCAAATGTTAATGAAAGTTTGGTTCAAAATTAAAATTTCATAAATTTGAAACAAATATTTGAGAAGTTTTATTTAATGGCATAAAAGTTGATAGAATCCATTATGAATTCACACTATGTCCAAGCCTGGAGTTTTTGTCCAGTATTAACATTGAATAAACAGCTTACTAAAGTTAAATTTAGTCTTGAAAGCCCATTAAAAAAAAAAAAAAAAAAAAAAAAAAAAAAAAAAAAAAAATTAAAGTGGGAAATTATGAAAATCATAGTGTGTTGTGTATTATTTGAGAGATATCAAATTTAAATTAAAATATTCGAGATATAAATTGCAATAAAAATTACTTGTATCTTGTTTATATAGATATAAGACAATTTTAAAAACAAAGGAACTAAATTCTTAACTGTCAAATTACTTTCAGAGGAGGCTATTAAAATCATTCTAATTTCAGAAAACTGCCAAGAAAAACTTCCGTTTCTGAATATAAAGCAATTCAAAGCACAGTTATAATTTATTATGCAAATACATCCAATCTTTCATTCACTAATTAGATATATAATGGATTTCTGCTGCCTCCACATATGGGTTGAAAACCAGAGAGGTAATCATTCATGCATAGTTGGTCTTCAGCAAATGGGCCTAGAAAAGACCATCCCTCACAGTCAAACTACAGCTAGTGTCTAATGTTAAGGCACATAGTCAGACATTTGGGGTGGGTTGAACCTCCACGAGTCATTGACTACAGTCTAGAAAGCCTCTACATCTAGCAATGCTGCATCATTTAATAGTGGTAAATGGATTCCCATTCCTCCTTGGTTTTTGAGGTTTATTCCTTGTTTCCTGTTTACAAGGCACCAGAAAACCAATCCTAATGTCTTATCTATTTCACTCCCAGTAGCCTCTTGGGTCTTAGTGGCATTATTACCTTGCTTGGAATGAATCAATATAAAGGGAAAAAAAAAAAAAAAAAGCTATGAGTAAATTGCAGGGCAGACTGGGTTCTATAGCCTTGAGTGGAAACTGGTCTAGAAAAAGAAACTGACTTCAAACCAGTGTGGAGCCTCACTGTTGCACAATGTCGACTTATTTGTTTTAAATATTTGCAGTATCTATGATATTTAAGAATAGAGAGGGGGAGAAAAAAAAAATTAAGTAAGTGAATGAAACTTACCAGCAATACAAGCAAAGTTCATTGCTTAAAATAAATTTAATTGTACCTTCCCAACTAAGTTTTAAAACTAACCAGGCACAATTCATGATATAGCCTATTTCAGAAAAAAATAAAAAAAATAGGAGGCTGTGCTGAAAAGTTGTCAGGTTAACCAAGCTGTTAAAATTTTCTGAAATGTGCCAAGCTTTTCAGCCACCTTCATAAGACATGAGTAAAATTGTAAATCACAATAAACATAAAATTTTGCAAAAAAGAACAGAAAAAGGATTTATTATATTCAATTTATTACTATGATATTGACAAACCAAGTTAAAATGTATACATCAGATAAGATCAAAGTTAAATGAACTGAGTGATAAAAAAGATTCAGCAATTTGTTCATTATCAAGAGTCTCATATTTCCAACCACAAAAGACAATGGCAGGAATTCAGGGGGGGGAAAAAAAAAAAAAAAAAAAAAAAAGGAAGGATTGCATCACAGACCAATTACTACCGGCACCTACAAGCAAGTCCCATTTTGGTAAGAAATCATTTTAAAGTTTTATCAAATATTAATGAGAACAGAGTTAAAAATACATAAATTTCGTAAGTGATTGGTTATTAAATACTGAATACAGAAACACGTGTGTGTACATATATATATATCATATCTTCAACACAAAGTTTCAAGTGAATTGCTCAACATATAAGGCAACATTTAAAAAGGCAAAAAATAAATCTCATGCAATCTAAATAGGCAAAATTAATTTTATTTAGAAATAAAGAAAAAAAATCCAATCTGTGAGGCAATCTGATTAATTATAGAATAGGCATTTTAATTTTATCAAATATAGAAATATTTTTTTTTTTTTTTATATACAACTTTAATTCTCAGACACCTGGCTTCCATCCTTCTAAATGTGCAGACATTGTTGCTGCAGAAATGAAGGCACAACATTGAAATGCACACTATAGTGGGGGGGGGAGTAATAAATGATTGTTGACATATCCAGTTACAAATGAACAGACAGGTAAGGAAAAAAGCAAACCTTATTTTTAAGGCTACCAATGAAATCACTTAAGAGTGGAAACCCCAAAGTGTTTTTTGTTTTTAACAAGACAGACATCAATGACAGCCTTATATAATATATATGGTTTACAAAGAAAATTCAATTACATGCCACAATACAGTAGTCTTTAGATTTCAAAAGCATTATACAATATTAAACATCAAGAACTTTAGCACAAAAAGTTTTGTTAGCCCAGTATGAAGGGGAGGGGTACTGAAGATTTCCTGGTTTTTAGTTATGTTGCAAACATGTGAATTCTTTAACCACTTCTTGAGATAGCAAAGAAGTTTTCAACACTTCCTTGCAGCAATTGTTGAATTATTCATTTTTGACAGGTTGAAGTGAAAACCTAATTTTTTTTCTCATCACAGACTCCTTCATAAAGACTAGCTACAGAAAAATTAATTTATTCTCCAATAGAAATTGTAATGCAATATATATATATATATATATATATATATATATATATAAATAAAAAAATGAACAGTACTAACAAATTTAAAAAAAAAAAACAAACTCAAAAAAATTTCCTAAACACCCTAAACATTGATCAATTTACTATAGTTTCAACATAAATCAGACATTTTTTTTGTAACAGGGTTCAACTAATACTTTAAAAGATACTTCCCAGGGAAGAGGGGGTGGTATTTACTGTCTCCAAGTAAGTCTGTAAAGAGTACAATAATCTTCCCTGCATCAATGTTTATAATTATATGAATTAATATAATTAACCAAACCATAAAGAATATGATGTAACTGCACATGAGAGAGAAAGAAAGAAGCAGAAACAAAAGTGTAATGCTTCTTCTTACCTCACCTTACCCCATAAGGAGCTCAAGAGGAGGAAACAAACTGTCAATAGACTGGAGACCAATGAGAAAGCATTTCCAAAATGTAAAGGCTGCAAATCAAATGAAGTGGTTGAAGCTACTTTAATACTAAAGTATTATTTTACTTTTGGAATGGTTGTGACAAATGTTTTGTTTTTTTTCTTCTTAACTGCCTCCCAGTGCCATGTTTCACAGAGTTAGTGGCATTCTGACTATAAATCTGGGCCAGGAGTGAAGCCAGAAGATGACCAACTGAAAGAAGACTTAAAAAAAATGGAATGCTTTTTTTCTCCACTTTCATCCCACAAACTTTATACCTGACATTGTATGAAATCACAGTAAATCTTTAGTTTTTGTTTTCCATTATTAGAAGGGACTTTTTTTTTTTTTTTTTTTTTTAAATAATTAGTGGAGGAAAAAAAATTCAGAGGAATCAGAAAAGAGGGAGGGTTGCAGATTAAAAAAATATCCACTAAGAACACTTAAGGTTTATACATAATGTATATAATACAAAAAGGTAAAGAATTATTTTGAAAAAAAAGATGCCATTAGTCCAATATTAAAAAAAAAAAAAAAATAAACCTTAAAAGAATTATCCTGTTATTTCACTTTTAAAATGTGTAGGGGAGATTACATTAAAGAATTTAATTTAAATAAGTATAGTAGCAAAGAGAAACTTAAATTTTTCTCAAACTTAATTTTAATAAAAAAAAAGAAAAAGAAATATATATATATATATATATATATATATATATATATAAAACTTCCTGTCCACAGACATTAAGCAAACTGAACTAAACGTGACAGGCACTTAAGTAGTGTGTGTGGTGGTGGGGAATATATATATATATATATATATATATATAAAAAATAAAAAGACAGCTGAAGTATTGTGTTTGGACAGATTGAAGATTTGATAAAGTAGTCTGAAGATTCCAGAATGAAGAGCAAAACCAGAAATCTTCTGTATTTGATTTGAGCCAAAGTCCAGAGAGCTATGCCAAAATGCACAAACATCCCCACCTCAAGCCCAATATACTGCCAAAACTTTGTAGTAAGAGCATCAGTAACAGAACTTTTCAGTAGGTGGGGGAGGAAGAGAGAAAAAAATTGCAGGTAAGAGGAGAAAATGTGGGAGGAACTAAAAGGGAGAGTAATCATGGGAATAGGAAAAGTTTACAATTGCTGTAGAAGTTCATATTTTTCCTTAAGCCCTATTTGTAAGAATCTTGTGTCAACCTTCTTCTTTGATTGGATTCGTTTCTTCATTTCCTCCACACTGACATTGCCAAAATCCAATAGGTCATCACCTTTTCTTTCAACAGCAGTTTCAGGAACAGATGGCTGTGTTGCTTCAGCTTTCAGCTCAGAGTGAGTGGCCGCAAACACTGGCTCAGGTTCTGGAATTGGTGCAGTAGGTAAAGGTTCTGGAATTGGTAGTTCAGGTTCAGGATCTGGCATTGGTGCAGCATATTCCCGTTCCATTTCTGGTTCTAGTCCAGAAGCTGCAATTTCTGAATTCACAGGGTTAGATTCTGAAAGTATTTCTGGTTCTGGCAGAATGTCTTCAGCAACAGATTCTCCCACAACAGCTTCAGGGATACCATTCTCTTTTAATTCCTCAGCCTGGGAAAAAAAAAGAAAAAAATTTTATAATTTTATCATTTCAAGCATTTTTCAAAATAAAATTACGATGCTGGCAATTTTAATTTGCAAAATATTTACATTGTTGTCCATCTTTGACATTCACGTTTTGGCCATTATACACTCCAGCCTTCTTCATGGGATATATGTTGGAATTTCAAACCAAACTCTTAGATTGTTCTAGTTCCACATGCCATGCCTTTCCTGGATATCTCAGTTGCAGTTATTTCCCTTTAGCAACAACTCTCCAAGAGTGTTCACCACTGCTCTATTGAACTCACAACTGAATCAAGTCACTGGATTACTTCAACAAACACTTATCCATGTGGACAACAGTTAGAACAATGTAAATAGTGCAAAATATTAGTCATTTCATTTTGCATTGAAAATTATATAATATTCAAAACTGACAAACCTTAAAACATTGTCAAATATTAGAAATGACAAACTTAGTATGAAAGTAATTTTTTTATTTACTGTTAATGAACCCAAGTGGACAAGGAAAGAGAGAACACCTACTAGTAGAGGTAACTAAAAACTACTACCTCAAACCAAGACATACTAGTAACTAAAACCAACACCACCAAGTACGAACAAACCCAAAGTTTATCTTTCCCCTCTACCATTAAGTTTCATCCTAACAAGCAAATCACAGTTGATTATTTTCAAAATCAAATGCATGCAAAGATGCCAAAAAACAAGAATTCTTCAGAAGGCCATCACAAATACTAATCATTAGACTGAGATTCCATATAGAGAGCATTTTTTGAATTTTATTAATTTTGATCACTGGAACTCTTATTAGTACAAGGTTATTTGAAATTCATTCCAGATCCCTTTTCATTTTTAAAAAGGAATTTAATTCTTTTATTAACTTAAGCTTGATGAATGGATTTTTGGCCTTGCTAATAAGGAGATATTCTTTACAAATAAATTCGATGATTACAAATGAGCAAAGTTTTTATGGTGTCCAAAATTTCAGCAATACTTTACAACATACATTGCTTGCCATATATCACTTGGTGATGCATTCTTTTGATAAGTCTAAGACATTTGACTTCATCAAAAAATTGCTTTGATAAGCTAGGTTCAAATGCAGTCAGCACTTTTTATTTTATTATTTACCAAATGCTCATCCGATACTAGGCCTAAGAGCCACTCAAGGTACAGTCATTGAATTTTTTTTTTTTTTTTTTTTTTTAAATGTAAAATGGTCAAAGTGCAGATTATGAGGATATGTAGAACATAACTGTTGACCTGGAGAGATTAGGATTGTAGTGATCAGGGAAGCATCCTCTTGGGATGCCGTTTCACATGATAATAGTTCTGGGGAGTGGAGATTAGACATTGTGTACAGGACATGGTGAATCCTCAGTATAAAAAGCTCTCAACAAGTATTAAAACTAAATAATGTAGCTTATTTGAACATTTGCCATAGAAATAGGAGCAAATAGGCTTGTGTGACATTTCATCTGTAGGATATACCAACAGAATTTGCTATGTCACTATATGTAATAAGAGTAAAATAGGTGGGGAAAAAGCGACTTAAATTCTATCTACTGTAGCAAATAGCATTAAGCTATTTCAATAAACAAGTTTTGCTTTGTTTTTTTTTTTCCTTTCTTTCCTTGGCATACATGACTAATGATCAAGCTATTTTAACACAGAACAGTCTTAATGTCAAGGTGTCCTCCTGACAGCTATTCACTCTTTGTGCAATGGGGTGTGTTAGATGCTGTCAACCAATATTATGGCTACTTAAACAACTCCAGATCAAGGAAGATAATCAATACTCCCATCTTTTATTTGTTAGTGTTCAGGACTAATGTTTCCTTGCTGCAAGACATGAAAACTGATGATGATGATGTAGCTTTTATCAAGGAGTCAGTCAATTGACTTCTGGTGTCAATCAGCTTTACCTCACCGATTTCTCTCAGCCCAAAAAGAAATCCTCAACATAGGCCAACATAACACTATGCAGATGTCTCTCACAATGACAAAAAAAAATAGCTTCATCATATCTTTCTTACCTGTAAGGAAATCTACTCCCTAGAAATATGCAAATACCATATTCTTGCTTCATTTTGATGTGATAATACATTCTGCACTGAATCGCATGGCATGGTCAATTACATGCAAGATCAAGTTTCCATCAAAATCTTTCAAATACATAGCAATTGATTCATTAAATTCTCTAGACAGAGCAACAACATACAATTGGTTTGGTGGGTAGGTTTCTTATATTTTATACATATTTGGCAATTTTCATGAATTGTTTCAATTGTTTCCAACATTGCTCTGTCATCAATGCCACCATCCATTTGAAATTTCTTCAGTCTACTCCCAAGAGCATAATTGAACTGTTTATGAATCTTAATACACAACTTCTTTTTGTCTGCATCATTTGCTTTCATAATTTTATGAAGTTTAAAGAAATACACATGCACTGGTTTATTTCCATTATCCTGATATGCTGTCTGGAGTTTCTGTTGATTCGTACTTCATAATGTTCTGATGACATGAATCGGAGATTATTTCTTTCCTGAACATAATGAAAGTCTTTTTGGAAGTTAATTATGCTCTTTGCTTTTCTTATTGCATCATTACTAAGAAGCAGGAAGATATTACTGATGACATCAGTTTCAATTGTTCTCACATTGGTACCTATATTGGCTGGAATCTTCACACAACTTAGTGAAGGGTACATTTCCTGTCACTGTTTTGATAAATTATTTGTTTCTTTCTCCTTTCATCCAGTGAATAAATATAACTTTGCAACCAATTTTCAGAGCATACATTCCTAATGCAACCATTATCCAACAGTACATCTAAATATTTCTCTAAGCAAACCTTCCATGATGTGTTAGGTCTAAACTTTTCATAATGTTCACTTCCTTCTCAAAGTGCTCTATTTGCAGAAGATAGAAGAGGACAATTCTTTGCCCAGTGAAGGATGGATTTACAAATAAAACATTTTGTCATTCTTCCAGCTTGGTCAAATGGGTTTCCCCTGCCAATGCTACTTTTGGAGGTTGCATCATCTCTTCTGTTGCTTCCTTGAATTCCAACTGCCCCTACCCTCTGCTACAAAATCTATTCTTTTGTATGTAGAGTTTATATGCCATTTTCTCTTTGATGCTTTCAGTTAGGCTACAATTCTTTTCTACTTTTCAGACAGCAATATCTTCTAATTTTCTTAATTGACAGTTCATTTCCTCATATCCCAATTTAGAAATTGCGACTCTTATGAGTTCTTTTACTTGTTTCTATGTTAACATTTTTCAAGAGTCTGTATGCTTTAATTTGATCTGGCAGCTCATACTTGAAAGTCTTCATTTTGTTGTAGAGTTTCTCAAAGTCATTAATATAGGTTTCAAGGGACATATCAGCTGGCTTCTGATAGTCTTCAAATTCAGCATATGTTATGTACAGCCTCTGATGCTAATCTTTTAGAAAGCGTCCATCCAGTTTACCAAAACCATTCTCTGCATTTAGCTCTTCAATTGGCAATTCCAATGCTGTCTTTGGCTCTGCCTTCCAAAGATAAGGGAACTGCTGGGGGCTTGTTCTATTTTTCTCAGTTTTCAAACAAATTGTCCATATTTCAATTCCTCCATCCATGTTTCATATGCTTGGACATTCAATTTTGGTGGATTTTTGGAACTGGTCACTTACTGTGGGCATTGGATAAAAATGTCTTCAACTGATTTCTTGATAACTGTTAAACCATTGTATTATTCAACTGCAGAGAATAAAAAACAAAAACAATCCCCAATGCCAAAATTTAAATCAATACCTTTTCACCTATCCAGTCCCCCCCTCCTCTTTCTTCCATTTTGGTAATCGGTTTCTTTTTTGTATCAACCACAATTTTTTTTTTTTTGTAATCTATTTTTTTTTTATTTTTTTTATTCTGCTACCATGTTAGTTGTTCACAAAGAGCTGGTGCCAACCAATATGATGGCTACTTGTATGCAACAGCTCCAGAGCAAGGGAGATAATCAACAAGGTGGACATGTTGGATCATAGGGTTTCCTAGTGGATCAAACAAAGTCAACTGTTCCACAACCCTTATGCCAGCAGGCATCCACCGGGTGCAGTGAAGAAACTGAAAATTGTCAGACCTGTTATCAATGACAAAATTATTTGATTGGTTTTTGCTTAGCAGCATATCAACAACTATGGTTATTTAATGCCAAAATCTAAATGTTTTGTATACTTTTTTTTTTTTTTTTTTTTTTTTTTGAGCATTTCAGTGATTAACCCATGCCTGGCCCAGTGGGTCAGGAAAGAGGTGGATTCATACCTTTCCCATGAGTATTTGCATGAAAGTGAATATAATGAATCCAACTGGAAGTGAAACTGCTTTCTGATTAACAATTTCAAGCCATTATCAATTTACACCACCCACACATCCAAACTTACAGCACCTTTTACTCCCAACATCCATTTAGGTACTGACCCAGCTTGATTTATTGCTTGTATGGGAAAATTATTTGGAAAGATTAGAATAATCCAGAACTTATACTGGAAGCAAACCACTTGCTACAGATAGAAAATAAATTGAGCAACTATACAAAAATAAAAAAGAGGTGCAAGACAAGGATACATTTTCACTCCAGATTTATTCCAGCTCTACAGCAATGATATCCTAAGGGAACTGGACACCCTAACAGCATTTATTATTGTTGGTGTCATTTTAACAATATAAGATGACAAGGTCTGTCTATATTTCTGTGATGAGATATATACATTATTCGAACTATTGTCCTCATCTTTGTCACCATATTTATCAACGTTTCGGCCATTGTACGCTCCGGCCTTCTTCAGGTGGTCGGAATTTCCGCCAAAATGTGATAAATATGGCGACAAAGATGAAGAAAATAGTCCGAATAATGTAAATAATGTATGATGACAAGGTGTTGATAACCAACACAGAAAGAAAACAGGACCTCTGAGAAAAAAAAAAAAAAAAAAAAAAAAAAAAAAAATGTAAGAAAAAGTATGATCATCAACAAGAGAAAAGGGCCAAGGCCAAAGTTACAAATTAGAGATATAAACATCAAGCAGGTGCAGAGGGTCAATTATAGCATAGGATAAAAAAAAAAAAAAAAAAAAAAAAAAAGTGTGATCAAAACACATTGGATTAGAGAAAGAAGCATTCCAAAAACTAAGCAAGAATGTTGGACAATTTCCCTTGGGGTGGGGGGGGAGAGAACTAGAAGCAATAGAAATATGGTTCTACAGAATGATACCAAGAATTCCATGGACAGAGTGAGTAAGCAACAAGGAAGTCTTAAAAGAAAATGACAACAGAAAGAACGCCTATACTTAGAATCAGGAAAAGAGAGCCAAACTTCTTTGGGCACATAAGGAAAGAGTGCTTGGAAAACTTGGTCCTCACAAGGCATAGTGAGAGCAATAAAGGTAGTGAGAGGCAGCAAGCCACTTATCTGACAAGCTTGCATGAATGGGTGATGGAACAGGGATCCTTAACAAGTGAAAAAAAACTGCTAAGAGTGACACAAGACAAAGTCGCAGAGAGCAAAGGTCAACTATATCCTGAAGGGATAAAGCATACAGAATTCTTTCTCTCCAAAACCGATAATATCACCTAACTTATGTGGTTATCAGCAAGGTTAATATATGAAGTTTTATGGTTTTCTATGGGTTCAGTTGTCAAACAGCTCTTATGTTAAGAATTCATCATTCAATTTTCAGACCATGTTTACGTTTTGAGGATAGATTCCCAATTTTCAGTGTATGACAAATTTAGGAACTGCACAAAAACTTAACCGATTTCCTCTTCAGCACAGTTTTAAATGACATGCAGGGAGATATTCAAATTCATGGGAATTTATAAATAAAAAAAGCAAACATTTTCACTAACTTATGACTAATTGCTATGTGCATGGCCTAGTGGTAAGAATGCTAGCATTCTGACCAGGAGGTCTGGATCCAAATCTCACCAGAGCTGATTTATCAAGTAACCACCTTGACAATGCTGACATGGGGAAATTATATAAATACACGACAGTCTATAGATATGCATCATGGTAGAATGGCTATCGGCTCAGAGTGAGAACTGAGAGCAAAGTTTGAATTCTAGTTAGTCGATTATGTTAGATTCACAAATATCATTGAGAAAGGTATGAATATCTTCACCAGCTATGGGTTGAATAGCAGGACAGACTGGGTTGTTTAGCCTTGGTTGACAACCAGTCTACTGCAGGAAAAAAAAATTCTGCCTCATTAGTCATGTATCAAAAGATACATGATCGCCCAAGCGTGTATCACATATGGCACTTAACTGACTGACAACAATTTAGCCTTGGGATGGTTGTACTAACATCAAGTTACGCAATAACACCTAATGGACAGAGACACTCTTTAGTGTGCTGGCAATCTAATGAGAGATGCTGCCTCAATAAAAGCACTCACTCTCCAACAGCCTGGGCATTTACTAAGATGTAACAGCTTTATATGCTGTAGAAACTTCAACTGTCTTTTGGAAAAAACATAAAAAATAAAAATAAAAAAAATAAGATTAAAATGTACTAATGACAGTGTGTTTTTCTAATCAATTCACTCCAAGTAAGGTGATAATGTCACTAAGATGCAAGGGGCTACTGGTTTGGTTTTTCTTGTTTAAATGGAACATCCACCTCTATAGGTTATTTTAGCATCAAATCCTTTTAGTCTGCTTATGATGAAAGGCACAGTGGAGTAATGGATAGCAGCTCAGACCGAGAAATTGGAGAGCCAAGTTTGAATTCCATTTGAATTGGTTACATTCACTTACGTGCTAATATCCTTGAGAAAAAAAAAAGATACAAATCCATTTTTCCTCCTCCCCCCAGGTAAATAGCAAGATAGATTGGTCCTAAAGCCTTGGGTAGCAACTGGACTAGGAGAAGGAAGCTGAATTTAAAACCAGCCCAAGAGGGTTTGGCTCCATCAGGCTATCCTGCTCAGAAAACTTCACTGCTACTGCGGTACATGTAGTGTCCCTACGACTAATGGGTTATGGTCTCATGACAGAGGATTTGTAAGAAAGTGTAGTTTCTAGTTAAAGTAGTTCTAAGAATTAGTTTTCTTAAATTGTGGGAGATTAAATCTTCATATAAAGCTTCACCTGTTTTATAAAGTTAGATGTTATTCAGGTTGGTTTATCTGAAAAACTCATTCATGTCTTTTTAAATAACTTTTCCTGGATATGTTTAAATTTACTACAGTCTATAAGTATGTGCTTGATGGTATATGGTTTTACATGTGGAGCTACTGGAAATTAAAGAATGAAAAAATTTCAGAAGCTGAAAACCCAATCCTAAACAGGAAACAAGGGATAAACTGCTACTCCTGTTCAAAAGACCAAGGATGAGGGTGAACCTATCTACTCCAATTGCTACCATTTTGAAAGTGTTTGAACTCCTGTATGTTAAATCCAAGAAATCTTCCCTCTGTAAACAAAAGGAATGGCTGCCAGGTCTTAATATACAATCTGTTTATGATATAATAAAAAAAAAAAAAAAAAAAGAATATTTTATATAAATGATACAAAAATTCTTTTGACAATTATTTTAGACTTTAATGGCAATTTTTGTGTAGTAGAAGTATTACAAAGTGACAGTGTTACAAAGCGACACACACAGTGTTACGAAGAAAAGCTATTAAGAATATTGTGAACTTACAGTTTCTAGGGGTGCCGCCACGTCTTCCTTTACACCATTTATTGCAGAAGCTGTAGCATCTGTAGTGTCATTTTCTTGTATAAAATCCTTAGCTTGTGTCATTTCCCCTGTTTCTTCATTGTGATTAAGGGCATCTGGAAAGTTAAAAAAAAAAAAATAAATAAAAAATACATTATATAAAAACAAGACTGCTTTAAAATGTCAAAAAAAGACATCAGCAATAGCAAAAATAAAGCTGGTTTAATTATCTTTATACATATTGACATTAAATCCAAAGCTAAAACTTTTGGAGCAAAGGAGGAAATGTAAGGATTTCACTTAAGCTACTTTTTGGAGAAAAACTTTAGCATGTATAAAAACAATGCTGGAATTATGTTGTTAGTTTTTTTTGGGAGGGAGTAGAGATTGAGGCATGCCAATCTTTACTTAAAAAAAAAAAAAAAAAAAAAAAAAAGGTCGGGGACAGGGCATGTCAAAGTTCATCTCTTGTACAGAACTGAAGGGTTATATGTAACCATTTTACCGAAATAATTTTTTTTTAGTACAAGGATATAGTTGGATAAAAAGATAAAAAAATCTGCTTTTTTTTACATTTGGAATAACTAAATCAATTTAAGTACAAGATCTGTTTATTTCCTTTTATATCGTTTTCATTAAAATTTTTATACTTAATATTAATTATGAACTTTATAAAACATGAATGATCAACTTTATTTTAGTTGAATCTGTATGTTTCGAAGAAATACAATTTTTACTGTGCTTTACTGAAATGTAACAAACTAATTTAATATTTTTTTCTCATTACAAATGAGACAGTCTCTCCCAAGAATTTTAGTCTTTATGCTTAATCATTAACAGAATTTTCTTTGAAGACTTCACATCTGCATTTTCAAAAAGCCGATTTCTTTATATTAAAAGATTTTTTCTAATGAGGCATCAAAAAAAAAAAAAAAAAAAAAAACAATATCTAAGTAATGAAAAATCAATTAACATTATGTAAAGTTAAATTCAATAAATTTGGTATTTTTAAACAAAGTTTACAAAACATTCACCATAATCCTGCTGCTAAATCAATTTTCTTTTAAGTCTTTTTTTTAAGGTTAGTAATCATAAATATATTTATGACAAGTCAGCATAAGTTACTATTTCTAAATGCTAAAATAAAACCTTTGATTTCATGTTTGTTTCCTGTCATTTGTTTCAGAATTCATAATTCCGATAAGCTTTTTGTTTCATTAGAACTGTTTTCATGTAGATAATTCAAATATTAAAATGCACTTTTTTCTTTTACAACACCTTGTTAACTAGCGATATATTAATGATGCTAAGACCTTACTAAAGAAAATATACCAAGATATAGAGGATTAACTTAGAGTTAAATTATGCACTTAATCTTTTTATTTGAATTCACACAGCAGTGAACTATCGCAAACCCAAGCTAAAAAAATATTTGCTCCCAGTGGAATGATAAAATTCAAGATATGACTAGTTCTGGGCTAGAGATGCACTATGACATGGGCATCAGTATTTAAAAAAAAAAAAAAAAATTTTTTTTTGAGGAGTATGAAAGGGTTAATTTCCTTGACATTATCAGCCAATAGACTAAGGAAAAGTCAATTCCCCCCACACCATAAAATTAAAGGGGATTCATTTAACTTAAAGCTGAAAGAATGCATTTTGTGGTAAAATTTTATTTTACAGTTCAAGATATTCATTTCTAATGTCCGTTATATTTGATATGTTGCAAGCCTATGTCTAAAGGAGTTAGAATCCATTTTTTTTCTTGCTTAATAACAGAAATGTAATGGCAATATTAGCTATTATCTTAAAGAAACATTTGGCATTCATTGAGCAAGCAGCCAACACTGCTTCTGATTAAAACTTAAAAACAATACTTCAGGGTAACCAGTTTGCATATCTAGTATTAATAGGGGGTTTCCTTCCTAACCTTTTATTTAAAGCACTGTGAAATGTCAACATCTGGAATATGCCATTATTTTCTCTTCAAGTGACATGTGATATCCATTTTAGCTGTTGTTGAAAGTCCAAGTGATGTGGTCCCCATTATTTGGTACACTTTGTGATTCTGTAGCATCAGTCCAAGGTTCGAAGTGAAATGGTCTTTGCCAAAGACTCCCAGGCTTCAGTCACTCAAAGCCATTTTTAAACATGTATACAATTACTTTGTAAGATCAAATTTTAGAGATTTCTGAATGGCTCAGGCTTCACCTTAAAGGTTGTAGTAATGTCAGCTTTAAATGTGGTCAAAGGAAAACAATGCATATCATCAGGACATGACAAGTATAATTACAAGATTTTGACAAATTACAAGGATGAAAAATCTGCTCAAAACTTGAGCAGTGGTCGGTCTGTTAAATTTCACTTAAAGCCCTTCTGCTTTGTCATGATGTCAAAATTGCAAAGACAAATGAGTTCTTCATTTTTACTGACAAAACCTCGTTCAACCTTCCCCCAGTCACCAACATTTATGAAAAAAAAAAAAAAAAAAAAAAAAAAGGAGGGATGAATCATCAAAACCCTGAGATGTCCAGGTTTTAACCCAATAGTTCCATCACTAATATTACTAACCTAGGAATACTGACGCTGTTACATAAAAGTTAATTTTTACAAAGTATTTCACAACCTTTTATCTCATTCACCTTTATTCTCTATCTGTTTACAAACAAGTCAGTGTTACTCAATTGGGTTCATTGGGGTGGGATAATTTATACTTTAGGATAAGAGCAAGTGAAGAGAGAATGCAATTGTCTTATCTCCTCTGTCCTAGAAGTGGGGGTACTAAATTTCTGGTGCTTTTCTGCATCAATTTTTTTTTTTTTTTTTTTTTTTTCCTCTCCATACAGAAAAATTTTTTTGGTTGAAAGTTGATAAAAAAAAAAAAAAATTAAGCATTTTTCCTTATTTAAAGACATTAAAAAATTATGCAGTTTCCATCTGAATTTCTACGACGAAGAGTTGTTGGAAACAAAAGTCCGAATCTTTACTGTTATATTTCAACCCTTATGCCCTTCAGTGACACCTGGAAAAACTGAGTATAATGGCTCAAACATGATTAAGAGTTGGATATTATTAGTCTGAATATAAATAAAAATCATGTAATCTATTGAAAATAAAAATTTAAATTATCACATGTCAACATTACCTAATTGGAAGTGGATTACCAACTCCAGTGGGAAGTAAGACCGAGGCATAACAACCTAATAAAATTATATCTTTGATAACAGAACCAGTTTGATAATTGTTAGTGATGACAGACTGCCAATTTTGAAATGAATATATTGGCAATTTTGTTGATTATTATCAAACAAGGATATAAAGTTTGAGGCAACTATTCATAGAAAAATAGTGTGTTTAGTGATTAAAATTTTTCTTAATATTAAACAGTTATTCTTAATGTGAGAAAGCATTTCAAATCTTAAAAATCATAAGACTAAAAGTTATGAGAGAGAACAAGAAACCTACAGACAAAAATCCCTCCCACGTAGTCAAATATTCAAAGTGTAGTAAAGACTAAAGTACACTTTTTTAAATTTTCATCTACTTTGTTGAATAACATTTAAAAAATTCATATTCACAGAATTGAAGGTACTGACCTCCAATGGATCGCAACGGATAGGGGGAAAAAAAAAAAAAAAACCCTGAGTAGCTATCAAAATTTATTTTATGGCATGACAACTTGGTGGGCACTATAACTTAAAAAATAAACTGGCTAGTGGCAACTTCATTGTTTCCGATAGGAATGTCGTGTTTTATATATATATATATATATATATATATATATATATATATATATATATATATATAGGAATTTTATTATTGGAACAAGACTGACCATCTAGTTTAGAGCATAAATCTTTTCGAAAATGACTAATTTGCAGTGAATGCTAACAATATCGTTAAGTATCAAATTATGTATATTGTTAACTTAATGATAATGTATACAAGTTTGAAAACCATTATATATAAAAAGTTAAAGTTTAAATGATTTTAATTTTTATTAGGAACAGACATTGATTTTTTAGAATCTTCAACTAAGGAAAAAAAAAAAAAAAAAAAAAAAAAAAAAAGGACCCATTATGTTATTTTAAAATAGGTTTCACATCGGGGCGGGGGAGTGATAACTGGTGACGTGTCAGAGAGTGTTGAAAGCACAGATGTCACAAACATCTCATGTCTCTTGTCATTCAGGTTAGAAGCTGGGCAGAGAGAACACTAGTTGTGTCAAAACTAAATTTACAAGGTAATGCTTTAAACATGTCAAAAACGGCAGGTAAATTGGACATTTTATTTTTAGATAAGAAATAAAGTGACATTCTTTTAGTTTTATCAGAAAATCATGCTTGTATTATGACCTTTTGCCCTCACCCAGCCTGATGAAATCATACCCAACCCCATCTCTAAGACGAAGCCACCCTTTAACACACCTGCACCAATTTTGAAATATATATCCCACTTGAGCCCACAGCTTAAAGTAAACTTATTAAGTTAAAATAGAGCTATTAAAATATATCATTTTACTATTGCAAACCTGTTGACTTTACATTAACTTGTACATTTCGACAATCGATATAACTTTAGTTCTATTTAGAGAAGTTAGAACATGTATAAAAAAATAAAAATAAAAAAAAGATAAACATTGTTGAAACACAATGACATTCTTTTCCTCCTTTTCCTTCCTGCAAAGCAGCAAAATCAAATATTAGTTCGTCATTGATATCATTTTAGTTTATGATAAAAACTCCATAACATGAAAATCATTGCTTGTGAGCCCTGGGCTACAGCCTGTACAAGTCCTCAAGGATAATCCCAGCCTAGATGCAACACATACATCTTCCTTATACAAGGCAAAGGATTGACAAATTTGGAAAATTTGGTGGACGCGTTTCGCCCTCTAGAATTTCATAGAATGAAAGTAATGCTTCACTTCATGGAATTAGGAAGGAGATAAACAAAAGTGTCTATTGTAACAGATTTCACACACACTATATATATATATATATATATATATATATATATATACACACACACATACACACACCTAGTGAGCCAGACAGTGGTCTGCTCTACGGTTGTATTGAGCTCTTTTGTTAGTTGTTACTCGTATCGGGGTTTT